ATATTAACCATAATCCCAGTTTCCAACTATCCAATAGCCTTCCATTTCAATTCCAAAAAAATAGGCTACCATTTAAGGATTTCATTTATTTAATTCCAGCATTTAAACTGTTCTGCTGCAATCAAGTGAAATCCTGTTTTTTCATTGGAAGAACAATGTGCATATCCGATTACCTATTTCCTGATGCACAAACATTATTTGCCTCCATTATATGGATATATCCTGGTACCTTTGTTGGGCGTGTGTGTGTGTGTGTATGAGCATGTGTGCGTGGGTGTGTGTGTTTGTGCATTGCTCACAAATACGCATTCGTTCATTTATTCAATCGGTGTGTGTATTTATTTGCGTTTGTGTCGAAAAGGATGTTGAAATAAAGGCTACTATAATTGAATTTTCATTCGAAACCAATTGTGCGCCATCTCTACCACAGATGATATTTTTATTCAATTAAGTACCAGTGTTCGATGGCAGCGGCCTGGTGTTGGTGTGCGACTGTATGTGTGGTATCAGCACCAGTTGTAGTAATAACAACATAGTCGATCCATAGATATTAACAAACACCGAGAGGTACACAAACACTCCCACAGAAAAACGAGGTACTTTACAATATTCCATTTACGGCCGATCCACACAACAAAAAACTCCGGTACCGGCACCACCACCGCCACGATGTGCAAATAAACGTTAACGCCCACTATCAAAATTGGTTGGTACATCGTTTTTTTTTTTTGATAGAGCTGTTCCTTGTTGTTGTTGTTCATTCTGATGTCCGCACAAAATAACCGCAATATGTTACCAATATTATTACTAAAGGCTGAGGGGGAGAGTGGGTCCTGCTTTTTTCTACTTTTGCCGCAGCTATTGTTTTTTGTACATTGAATAATTTGTTATTCAATTTATATACACAGCGTCAGTGCATATTTTCTGTTTGCTTAAGCTGGGAGCAGAATTTGGAGGGGATTGAAATTTGTTGTTGAAGAGCATTTTCCGGTCTCCTAGGAAGTCCTCTATTGAAATCGTGGTATTTTCCTTCAGGACTAGCAGAATATCCCTCCTAGGAGTTAAAATCGCAATATTTCTTATCAATATTCCACCAAGGGCTACCCTAGCTATAATCTTTGTATTTTAAAGCAAATTGTTTCAAGTACCAGCAGAGCTAGATTTGGGATTTTTAAGGAATATTCAAGTGCTCCAAATTGATAACCTTTTGTTTTTTAAGTTTTTTTTTTCATGGATCAGCAGAGTCATAATCTTAGGTGGAATGTCCAAATGATCCGTGGACTTTCAAAAGGGGCAAAAGAGCTATAAACTAAAAATGGATTTTTTATAAAACCTTTTTTCAAGGCAGAAAAAAGCCTGAACCGGGTTTTTCTTAAAAGAATATAAGGCCAGCAAAGCTGTAATCGGATATTTATTAAAAATATTCTTAAGACCTATAATCGTGCATTTTTAAAGGAAATTTTTCAAGAACAACCCGAGCTATAATCTTTGATTTTCAAAGAATATTTTTCATGGACTTCCTATTCTATAATCTTAAATTTTGAAGAGTAATTTTTAAGGACAACCGACTTTGGGGATTTCTTAAGAATATTTTTTCCAAGAATCTGCAGAACTTTACCGCTGATTTTTTAATAATATATTTCAAGGATCTGAGCCATAATCTTGACATTTTTTTAATGTTTTTCAAATTTTGTATTTAAAAAAAATATATATTTTCCCAAGAATTTTCATAGCCATTATCACGTATTTTTTACAGGATATTTTTCAAGGACTATGTGATTACAAGGCCATAACCGTGGAGTTTTTTGAAGAAAAAATTCCCAGGATGAGTGATTTTTAGTTAAGTTTTTTTTGTTTTAGAATTTTTTTTTTTTTTGAAGGACTAGACTAGGACCCAATTGCGGATTTTATAGAAATATTTTTCAAGGATCAATTACTCATTAAAACAAATAAATCTAAGTATATTAAAAAAAGATATTTCTCAAGATCGACCCTATTATTCGGACTTGTAAAAATACTTTATTAAGGACAATTTGGGCTATAATCAGGGATTTTAAGAATTTGCAAGGACTCGCTGATCGTTGATTTTTAAGGAAATATATATTGCAAGGACCACCTGAACTTTATCCCGGCTTTCAAAGAATATTTTCATGGACATATTTAAGGAGGTTTTTTATGGTCTCAATGACCCACTGATCGAAAATCTTGCATTTTTTGACTTCAAGGAACACCAGAGCTATAATTTTGGAATTCTATGTATTAATTGGTCAAAGATTCACAAGGGCCTTCTTTTAAATATTTTTTTCAGAGACCAACAGAGCCACTTTTTTAATCTTTTTAGGAATATTTATTCCAGGATTTTAAAAATATTTCTTCAAAGACCACCTAGATCCTAGATTTTCCAGAATATTTTTGAAGGACGACCAGAGCTATTATCCTTGGGTTTTAAAAATACTTTTTGAAGGACATTTTTAGGAACTTATTTTTTTTATAATGATTTTATGATTTCCTTTTTGAAGGATTTTTAAGAATATTTTTCAATGACCAGGAGAGCTATTATCCTGGACTTCTAAATTTACTTTTTCAAGGAGCTCTTAAAGCATATTTTTTCAGATACAAACGGAACCATAGCTGAGGATTTTAAAGAATAATCTTGGATTTTGAAAAAATTTGTTTCAAGGACCCACTGATCTGTAATTGTGGATTTTTAAAAATTTATCTCTAGGACAAACTAAGCCATTATCCTGGCTCCTTAACAATACTGTTTCAAAGACCACTTTAGGAAGGACTACCATAGCAAGTATCATATGGGAATTCAAATCGGGGATCCAACAGAGCTTTTGTTCTGACTATCTGATACTTTTTTCAAGCACAGCTTTAAGACGATTTTTTCCAAAGACCACCAGAGCTATAACCGTGGACTTTAGGATTTATTTTTTAAGGGCCAACTGATCCATGATCATGAATATTTTAGATTATTTTTCATGGACCATCAGGGTTGTTATCCTAGCGTACATTTATAAGAACCATTGTTAGAATGGGGTTTCAAGGACTGTCAAAATTATAATCATTTCTGGGTTATAATATACTTTATCAAGGACCTTTTTGGAGGACTATGGGGATTAAATAATATTTTTTAAGGACCATCAGAGGTTTTATCCTGACGTTATTCTTATAAATATACTTTTTCTCTTTAAGAATATATTTCTAAAGACCACCAGAGCTATAATCGTGTGTTTTAGGATTTTATTTTTCAAGGACCAACTGATCTATGATAGTGAACTTTTAGCAATCAGGACTATTATACTAGCTTTATAAGAAAAAAAAAATTAAGAAAGTATTTTCAAGGACTATCAGAGTTATAATCGTAGATTTTTAAGAAGTTTTTCTAGGACCCATTGAGCTATCCCCGGGGATTTTTGAGATTGTTTTTTTTTTTTAAGAACCACCAGAGCTAAAATCCTGACTTTTAAGGAAAGCTCTTGGAATGACCATATGTAGAATATTTTTTAAAGAACCAATAAAGCCATAATTGTGCATTTTTTAGAGCATTTGCCAGGACCATCCTGGATAGGAAATATACCTATCCCTAAATATACTCATTAAAATCCTCGGCTTTAGTTCACGTGGTTCTTTAAAATTGTTCTCAAATGTCAAATACCACCTTGAAAATCAAATCCGCTTAATTTTCGTCCTTGAAAAATACATTCTTAAAAAAAACCACAACGATCTGCGTTATTCTAAAATGCCAGGATTATCCTGGCTTCTTAGGTCGTTGTGAATTAAGAATTTACTTTTGAAGGACTCAAATATCGCCGATTTGATTTTCAAGGACCAACGCAGTATTTGACTTTTCAGAGACAGTTTTTAAAGGCCACATGAATTAAAGTCGAATTTTCTTAAGAATATTATTTCCTCAAGGATCACCAGCATATTTTAAGGAATTATTATTTTTACGATTAAAGTCTAAAAGTCTTAGTTTTTTAAATGCCCAGCGGATCTTCATTTTGGACCCTATGGAATATATCTCGAGAGCTATAATAGTGATTTTATTTATTTATTTATTTATTTTTTTTTTTTTTTTTTTGATTAACTTTCAAGGTCTACCAGAGCTTTTATTTTTTTAAGATTTAGAATTTTCAGGCCAAGCGGAACTATATTTTGGACCCTATAGAATATTTTCCAGAACTGTAATGGTGGATTTTTTAAAATAATTTTGTTAAAAGACCAACAAGGCCAGATTCATGATTTTTAGCAAATATATTCAAGGACAACCAGATAAAAAGTTTATAGACTCTTTAATGATACTCTGGATAGTGAATATTTAGAAACTTCTCCCTTTCAACTCGTATATAGAGAGATTCTTTACAGCTCGTCTATAAGGAGGGTCTCCCTCCAGCTAGTCAATAGGGAGACTCACCAGCTCGTAAAAAAATACTCCCTCCACCTCGTTTATAGAGCTCGCTTTTAAATACTCTATCCAGCTCGTTGATTTAGAGACCTTCTCCATCTAGTCGATAGAGAGGCTCTTACCAGCTCGTCTATATGGAGAATCTCACCAGCTCGTCTATATGGAGACTCTCAACAGCTCGCCTATAGAGACTTGCTCCAGCTCACCTATGGAGACTAGCTCCAGCTCACCTATGGAGACTAGCTCCAGCTCGCCTATAGAGACTCGCTCAGCTCGCCTATAGAGACTCTCTCCAGCTCGTCTATAAAGAGACTTTCTCCAGGCTGTTTTTAGAGACTCCTCTCTTTCAGCTCATCTATAGAAAGACTCTCTCTAGCTTGTCTATAGAAAGACTCGCTCCAGTTCGTCTACAGAGAGACTCATTCCAGCTCTTCTATAGAGAGACTCGCTCCAGCAGGTCTTTAGAGAGACTGTGTGACATTAATTCATTTAATTTATTGACATGAAAATCCTTTATTTTCCGAATACTTTGTAATTTAAAGCGTTAATTTCGAATTTCCTGTCTGCTTTTTCTCCTTACCATTTGCAGGTCTGTGCATTATCGAAGCGTAGCATGATTTTACAACCGGATATACCACCATACAATGAAATAGTGGCACCACCGGGTGCCCTGGGTGCTGCTGCTGCCCAAGCGTCATCAACCGGTGCCTTAATGGTTCATCAATCGTCATCATCGTCCTCATCGGCGTTGTTGTCCTCCTCGTCGTCACATGGCCATCAACAGTCCCAGCCACAGTCACAACCACAAACCCAACAACAACAACATCTATCGGCACTGGCCTCAACGAAAAGCATTCAACAGAATAATATAATTATTGCCAATCCTGGTCTGAGTTACGATGATGTCCTCAACGAGGATTTTCAATTCGACATGGACGGCCATGATGTGATGGTATTTTTGCATATCCAGAAAACGGGTGGAACTTCATTTGGTCGGCATTTGGTGCATGATTTGGATTTAAAGGTATGTTGCGATAAGTGTTTTCCGATTTGTTTTTTTCTGCTTTAAAAATTTACATATTTGTCAGGGATTTGTTGTGGCTGACTGCTTTAAAGAATTGATGATTTGTTTGATAAGAACAAAAAATTATATTCAGGGTCATTTGATTTGCTTATTAACAATTCATGTTCAGCTAGAGCTGAGCGGAATTAATAATTTGTTGGACTTCTTGGAAATAATCCTTATTCGTTGTTTGGTACTTGGGAGGTTCAACCATCCTAGTTGGAATACATTAACGTAAGCCGAAGTTCTATTGCATTTTCCATGGTTGAGATTTTCGTTGTGATATTGGACTCGAAATACAAGTATAAGCTGGAACATGGTTGGATGGCTCACATTCTGGAATACTTCCAAAGATCCAAGCCTTTTTTTTTCAAAAAATATTTAACAATTTTTACAAAGGTTTCTTGCCTTTCTTTATTCTGTGTTTTTTTTTTACCTCTCTCTCATTCCCATAAAAAAGTCTTGATTTTGGTCACATCGTTAGACCATAACCGACCGTCAAGAATATCATCATGTCCAGCTCATAACCTGTCATTATGGTGTGGCATACTAATAAGCCAGACAAACTGAAATTGTAGAACAATTCTGCGTATTCGGTCAGAATGTAAAAAAAAAATTTAATCTCAGCCAAGTCTGTGAGAAAAAAGTGAAATATTTCACAATTTTTTTTTTATCCATTTTTAATTGAATATAAAAATTGAATTTTAAGTACCATTTTAAATGATAATTTTTCAGGATCATTGAATGTTCAGAACGACAAATGAATTGTAATTGAAATCGGGAAATGGATAGGATGGAATGAAGAAAAAAAATTATGCCGACTATAACTCATCAGCTCGTTTAATGACTCAAAATGCATTAAAGTTATTGATGTGGATAACAAGGAAAAAAGTGTTCCGCCGAAATTTTAATACCCTCCGCCTTAGCTCTTAGAAAATGAGATTAATCGGTTTTCATATTCGAACGATTTCCATTTTAAAATTCAATGAAATTGGCTTGAACATAAAGCTAGTGTCTTCTAAATATTTTTGAAATTTAAACTTCGAAGAGAGGATCATTAAAAAATCCTCGCTATGGGGCTTCAAAAATCTTTTTTTTTTTAAGGAAACCACGACAGGGCTTAAAATTGGAGCCTTAAAAATGTTTGAAAAATCCACGGCATGGCCTTAGAATGGAGGCTTTAAAATCATTTGATAATCCAGGTCAAAATCATACAAAGAGAGCTCCAAAAAGCTTTCAAAAGTCCAAACCAAAACCTTTAGAACATCTTTCGAAAATCCACGTCATGACCTTACAAAGGAGAGCTTTAAAAATCAAGGCCAAGACTTTGCGAAGGGAGCTCCAATTTTTTTTCAAAAGCCAGGACCTTTAAAAGGAATATCCAGACCTTCAAAACATATTTAAAAAAATCCACCCTGGCCTTACAAAGAGAACTTCAAAAATATTTTTAAAAATTCAAGCTTTAAATTTTTTTCAAAAATCCTAGCCTAGACCTTACATTGGAAGCTCCATAAAATGTTTAAAATATCCAGCACAAGACCTTTAAAATCAACATTCAAAAATCCGTCCCCTGGCCTTACAAAAGGAACTTCAAAAATATTCTAAATATTCAAACCATGCCTTGGCCTTGCAAAGGGGACTTCAAATAAGCTTTAAAAAATTTCCGGCTTGGTCTTTTAAAGAGGATTTCTATTTTTTTAAACCCACGCCATGGTCTTACAATCGAGGCTTCTGAAAAAATCGGGCTTGCAAAGAGGGCTAAAAAAACTTTCAAAAATTCATGTCATGGGCCTACAAAGGGGACTTCAAAAGTCTGCCGAAAATTCAGGTCATGGCCTGACAAAGGGAGCTTCAAAAATCTTTCAAAATCTACGCCTTGGTCTTACGAAGGGGACTTCAAATAATCTTTAAAAAGTCTTCGACTTGGTCTTTTAAAGAGGGTTTCAACTTTTTTAAATCCACGTCATGGCCAAAGGGAGCTTTAAAAATCTCCCGAAAATTAGTGTCATGGTCCAACAAAGAGAGCTTCAAAAATCTCTCAAACTCTAGGCCTCGTCCTTACATAGGGACCTTAAAAAATAAAAAAACTTTTCAAAAATCCATGACATGGCCTTTCAATAAGGGATTCAAAAATCTGCCGAATATATTCACGTCGTGGCCCTACAAAAGGAGCTTCAAAAATCTGCCGAAAATTCAAGTCATGGCCAGGGAAAGGGAGCTTCAACAAATCTTTCGAAAATCCACGACTTACAAAGGGAGCTTCAAAAAGCTTTTAGGAATCCATGGCCTTACATAAGGGGCTTCAAAAAACTGGCGAAAATTCAGGCCATGGCATTACAAGGGAGCTTCAAAAATCATTCAAACTTCCACGCTTTAGCCTTTAAAAAAATGAAAAGTCTTTCAAAAATCCACCCAGAGCGTCAAAAAGGGGCCTTCAAAAAACCTTTAAAATCCCACGCTTTTGCTCGACGCTTGAAAAAATCTATAGTGGGGTCACATAAAATGTGTCACAAAAAATGCAAAGAAAAAATACACCTTGGCCTTATAAAAATGCAGGTCTTTTCTTCTGAAAAATCGCAACAAGTGAGGTATTGCTTTTTAGACGGCCCAGAGCCTATAGACTTGCCTTTCAAGTGGTTAATTGCAGATAAACTGCCCAACATGCCATCAATGACATTTCAGATCTTCCTTGATCGATATACTTACTTCTGTGCGTCTGCAGCCGATACACTTGTTTTTCAGTCTGATCATGGTATAAAAACTGTCTTTCAGGTCAAGCGATAGCCAATAGCCCACCTCCAAAAGCCTTTCAGGCCAGCCATAATTAATAGACTTGTTTTTCGTGTCATCCCTAGCCGCTAGGCTTGCTTTTCACACCGTAAATTACCGATTGAATTCGTTTACACCCGAAGAGCTTGACAATATAGTGGTATACTGTCGATAGACTTGAAACAGGATTTAACTTCGTCGTTAAAAACATAAAATCTACTACAAACCGTCTATAAAAGGATATACTTATTTTAGGCCGCCTACATCCGATTTCCTTAGGGTCGATACCATTTAAACGAAAAAAAGTCTCCAAATATGTCTTTATCCCCGTCAGCTCGCCTATAGAGCAGTTGGCTTCCTTTGAGCTCGTCTATAGAGAAGTAGGCTCTCTGTGAGCTCGTCTATAGAGAAGTAGGCTCCTGTGAGCTCGCCTATAGAACAGTAGGCTCCTGTGAGCTCGCCTATAGAGCAATATGATTCGTATAAGCTCGCCTATAGAGCAATAGGCTCCCTATTGAAAGGCTCGCCTATCAAGTGATAGACTCCTTGTCAGCTTGCTATACAGCGATAAACTCACTGTCAGCACGCATATATAGCGATAGACTCCCATTCAGCTCACTTTTATGAATATGGGCTCCATTTAGTCCTTCAAATATTGAGATAGACTCAACTAGTCTATAAAATCTCTTAAGATCGTCTATAGGCTATCATTTGAATTCGGCATTAGACTCCCTTTTTGAACTCGTCTATATTTTTAGATCGGGGCTCTCTTTCAAGCCTGTAAAGTTCGTCGACAGACCTTTACTAACTCTCATTTTAGATACCCCCTTTCAGATTATCTTTAAAAAACAACCTCAGCTAGTCTACTGACTCTGGTTTTATTCGGCCCGAGGCTCACTTTTCATATAGCGTATAGACACCCTTTCAGCTCACCGATGTAGATCCTTACGCAGGCTACCAATATTATCTTTTTTTAACTTCGTTTAATTTTTTTTTTTCTCTCTCTCTCTCTCCCTTTTTTAGCGTCCCTGCGAATGCCAGCGACAACGCAAACGTTGCTATTGTTTCCGTCCACATCGTAATGAAAATTGGTTATTTTCACGATACTCCACGGGCTGGAGATGTGGTCTACATGCCGATTGGACAGAGCTAACCAGCTGCGTCGATCAAGTGTTGGATAAAAACGAAGGTGAATCGGCAAAACGGAGATATTTCTATATCTCATTGATACGAGAACCTTTGGCGCGTTATATGTCCGAATATCGCCATGTTAAACGTGGTGCAACATGGAAAAATTCACGCCATTGGTGTCTGGGTAGACAAGCGACACAGAAGGAACTGCCACCCTGTTATAAGGGTGATGATTGGTTGGATGTAACCATTGATGATTTTGCCGGTTGTGAATCGAATCTGGCCACAAATCGTCAGACACGAATGTTGGCCGATTTAGCACTGGTTGGATGTTATAATAAATCGGCAATGCCTGCCCATGAGAGGGATCGGGTAATGTTGGCCAGTGCCAAGAGGAATTTGGCATCGATGGCCTATTTTGGTTTGACGGAGTATCAAAAGGTGAGTGGAAGGTTTAAATAATTGCAGTATTATTTTTTAATACTTTTGTTTTTTCTTTTGCAGATCTCCCAGTACATATTCGAAGAGACTTTCAATTTACGCTTTGCCATTCCATTCGAACAGCACAATAACACTTTGTCCGTTTCGGCCATACACAATCTGAGACCGGATCAAAGAAGAAAAATAGAAGAATTAAATAGTTTAGATATAGAATTATATGCTTTTGCCAAAAATTTATTATTCGAAAGGTAAGTAACCTGGGGCAAGAGGCTTCATGATGAATATATATAGTAAATGGAGATTAACATTTATTTCATTAATAGGTACATTTCCGCAGTAGTCAATAGGCAGACAGACTCCCTGCCAGGTCGGTTATAAGGCAATTGACACCCTTCCAGCTTGTCTATAGAGCAATAGACTCCTTTACTAGCCAATTGAGCGATCGTCTACCTCTTAGCTCGTCTAAAGTGCTATAAACTTCCTGTGAATTTGGCAATGTAGCGATAGACTCCCTGTCGTTTCGCCTAAAGATAGTCCTGCCGTCATCGTCTAAATAGGCTCCATTTAAACTCACCCACAGAACTACGTGTAGCAGGCTCATAGAGCTCTCCTATCAGCTCTCAAATAGACTCCCTGTCACCTCGACTATAAAGCGATAGACTCTATCACCTTCCCTATAAATTGATACTCTTATATTCCTAGCTCGCCTTTAGACCGATATGCTCCCTGTCAGCTCGCCTATAGACCGATATGCTCCCTGTCAGCTCGCCTATAGACCGATATGCTCCCTGTCAGCTCGCATATAGACCGATATGCTCCCTGTCAGCTCGCCAATAGACCGATATGCTCCCTGTCAGCTCGCCTATAGACCGATATGCTCCCTGTCAGCTCGCCTATAGACCGATATGCTCCCTGTCAGCTCGCCTATAGACCGATATGCTCCCTGTCAGCTCGCCTATAGACCGATATGCTCCCTGTCAGCTCGCCTATAGACCGATATGCTTCCTGTCAGCTCGCCTATAGACCGATATGCTCCCTGTCAGCTCGCCTATAGACCGATATAATCCCTGTCAGCTCGCCTATCAAACGGTAGACATCCTGTCAGCTCGCCTATAAACCTTTCTCTATAGACTACCTTTTTTAGTTCGCCTGGAGAATACCTTTTTACTCGTCATCTACTGATAAACTTATCAGTTTGCCTATACATTCCTTTTTTCACTCGTATGTAGCCTTCTTCTGCTTATCATCTCACCCAGAATACTCCAGAGACATCGTCTATAGATCCCATTTCCAGTTTGGCTAAACTCGCCTATAGAAGTCCTTTTAGTTAGTCTAGAGGTTCCATTTTCGGGTAGTCTACAGACTACCTTGGACTTGTCTATTGCCCACCTTTTCCATTCAACAGAGTTTACCTATTCAGCACGCCTATAAAACCCTTTCCTACTCCCCTTCAGCTCCCTCATTAGCTCGTCCTTAGGCTTCTTTTCTGCTGCTCATAAATCCCGTATCGCCTTCTCTATATAATCCCTTTCAGCTAGTCTATCGACTCCCTTTTACCCAGTCTATAGACTCGCTTTTCGGATATTTCGGTTATTTTATTGACTACCCTCTTTGCTCTTCGATTGTCTGTCTTCTCTGCTCATTAGAGAATTTATGTTTAAAGACCTCTTTTTCTGCTTGTCTATGGAATGCCTTTTGGCTAGCCTATGGACTTTATTTCTGCCAGTTTTAGGCTATTTATAGAAAGTCCTTTCCGTTCGTCGACAGACCGCCATTTTGAGCTCGCCTGAAGATTTCCTTTTTAGCTCGAAAGGAGATCCCCTTTTTAGTTCGTGAATAGGTTCCCTTACCATTGCCTTTTTCACTCGACTATAGCCTTATTTTTCCACTTTTCTTTGCTCTTCCATATCAGTTTGATTCTCTTTTATATTGTCAGGGCCTCCCTTTAAACTCATTCAGAGACACTTTAAGCTTATCTATATAGACTCCCTTTTTCGCTCGTCTATTGATTCTCCTTTTGTCGCTTTTGGAGACTCCACTTTCAGCTAATCTGGAGACTTCCTTTTCCGCTTATCTAAAAAATCTCTTTTATGTCCGCTTTTAGACTCGTATATGGATCACTTTATTTGCTCCCTTTTGAATTTGTTCAGAGACTCCACTTTTAGTTCATCTAAACCCTTCCTTTTCGGTTCGTCTATAGAATATTTTTTCTGTTGGACCTTAGACTCGTAAATGGGTTTCTTTATTAGCTCCAAGACCTTTTCAGCTTGTCTGTAGACACCTTTATCAGATATTTCTCATATTTTCTTTTTTTATAAAAATTTTGTTGATAATTTCCCTATAATTTTTTTTTTTTTCTAATTTCCACCTCTTTTTTCCAGATTCGAACACTTGAAAGCACGAGACAACGATTTTGAAAAACGATTTGCCAATTTGGGTAATATATACTACAAGCAGGGTGTTACCGAATTCAATTGGGACAGTAATATAGATGAGACTGTGAGTACAGAGCACTGAAGGTGATTGATCGAATGATAGACGTTAAGGATCATCAAAACGAAAAAAAATAGTCCTCGCCCAAGAAAAACTCTACACTATGTAAGGATCACATGAAAGGAGTTCGTTATTAACGTATCAGCATTATGCAATTCCCTCCCTCCATCCCACTTCGTCTCATTTGACTGCTCCCACAGAGATGAATACACCCAGAGAATTACATAACATAACCGGGAAAACTGACTAAAACAAAAATAACCATTAACAAAACGTTTGTTGCAAAACCAAAAATTATTATAAATAATTATAAACAAAAAAAGAAATAGTGAAAAAAATTAAAATATTGTAGAATTAAGTAGTATTCCAATACACAGCGACACATTTACATACACAAACACAAAAGTAATTCATTAGCAATGCATTTATTAGTTATTTAGAATCTGTTTCTCTATGTCGATACCTATCTGAAAGCGAAAGAAAAACATCATTCCAAATTTAATTTTTTTTAATCGAATCAAAAATCATATTTGGAATGCTATTTTTCGTTCGCTTTTTCTTTCATATCGGCATAGGGAAACAGGTCTTTAGTTTTTTTTTTATTTATTAGAAACAGAAAAATATACAAATCCAACTATGAATCTGACCTGCTAGACAGACCCATAATTTGTAAGCCCTTTTTTATATAAAAAAATAGTAAGCCCAACAAAAATGTGCATTTGAAATTGATACACGTAAAATAATTAGATAAAATACCCCAAGGGAAGGAGGTCTGCCCTAAAAGACTATTTTGATTGGACAAATAAAGAAAAGTTAATTAAACAATAATTAGTAAATAGTTCCAAATCTTTGGCCATTGTACGGAAATGATTGCAAGTTTTTATACCCTCCAACATTCTATGAAGGGTATATTAACTTTGCCATTCCGTTTGTAACTCCTCGAAATATTCATAATTAAGCCTACAAAGTATACATATTTTGGATTAGCGTAAAATTCTAAGCCATGTCCGTCTGTCAGTCCGTCTATCTGTCTATTGTAATTCATCTTTCGATCGAATTGAGATAGAAGGCTAAAATTTTGCATACATACATAGTTAACCAGTAGGCAGATTAAGTTCGTAAATGGGCCATGTCGGTCCATGTTTTCGTATAGCCTCCATATAACGCTACCTCCTTATGTTCGGTATTTTGATGATTTTAGTGGCATTATTTACCGGACAAAAATTTGTGTATGCAGGTCCAAGTGTTCGTATAGCCTCCATATAATTATTTCAAATTTTGTACTGGAAGATCGTAATGGGTACTACAACCTATGGTAAAAAATTTGTTTATGCATGTCCACGTCTTGGTATAGCCCCCACATAACAGTACCTCCCGATATTCGGTATTTTGCATGATTTTAGCGACATTATTTACCGGAATTATTTCAAAATTCGTACTGGAAGATCTTAATGGGTACTACAGCCTATGACAAAAATTTGTGTATGCAGGTCCAAGTCTTCGTATAGCCCCCATGTAACGGTATCTCCCAATATTCGGCATTTTGATGATTTCAGCAACATTATTTACCGGAATTATTTCAAATTTCGTATTTAAAGTTCGTAATGGGTACTACAACCTGTGGCAAAAAATTTCGTATACAGGTCCACGTCTTCCTATAGCCCCCATATAACGGTACCTCCCGATAGTCGGTATTTTAATGATTTGAACGACATTATTCGGCGGAATCGTTTCAAATCTCATACTGGAAGATATTAAGGGGTACTACAACCTATGGCGAAAATTTTCGTATGCACATCCACGTCTTCGTATAGCTCCCATATAACGGTACCTTCCGATATTCGGTATTTTCATGATTTAAACGGCATTATTTACGGGAATTGTTTCAAATTTGGTATTTAAAGATCCTAATGGATACTACAACCTATGGCAAAAAATTGCGTATGCAGGTCTACGTCTTCCTATAGCCCCCATATAACGGTACCTCCCGATATTCGGTATTTTCATGATTTGAACGACATTATTCTGCGGAATTATTTCAGATTTCGTATTTGAAGTTCGTAATGGATACTACAACCTATGACAAAAATTATTGTATGTAGGTCCAAGTCTTCGTATAGCCCCCTATAACTGTACCTCCCGATATTCAATTTTTTGACGATTTCAACGACATTATTCGGCGGAATCATTTAAAATTTCGTATTGAAGGATTTTAATGGGTACTAAAACCTATGACAAAAAATTGTGTATGCAGGTCCACGTCTTCGTATAGCCCCCATATTACGGTACCTCCCGATATTCGGCATTTTCATGATTTAAACGGCATTATTTACGGGAATTGTTTCAAATTTGGTACTTAAACATCCTAATGGGTATTACAGCCTATGACAAAAATTTGTGTATGCAGGTCCTAGTCTTCGTATAGCCCCCATATGACGGTACCTCCCGATATTCGGTATTTTCATGATTTTAGCGACATTGTTTACCGGAATTATTTCAAATTTCGTACTGGAAGATCTTAATGGGTACTACAGCCTATGACAAAAATTTGTGTATGCAGGTCCAAGTGTTCGTATAGCCTCCATATAACGGTACCTCCCGTTATTCGGTATTTTCATGATTTAAACGGCATTATTTACGGGAATTGTTTCAAACTTGGTATTTGAAGATCCTAATGGGTACTACAACCTATGGTAAAAAATTTCGTATGCAGGTCAAAGTCTTCGTATAGCCCCAATATAACGGTACCTCCCTATATTCGGTATTTTCATGATTTTAGCGACATTATTCGCCGGAGTAGTTTCAAATTACGTATTTAGAGTTCGTAATGGGTGCTACAACCTATGACAAATATTTGTGTATGCAGGTCCAAGTCTTCGTATAGGCCCCTATAACTGTACCTTCCCATATTCGGTATTTTGATGATTTAAACGGCATTATTTACGGGAATTGTTTCAAACTTGGTATTTGAAGATCCTAATGGGTACTACAACCTATGGTAAAAAATTTCGTATTCAGGTCAAAGTCTTCGTATAGCCCCAATATAACGGTACCTCCCTATATTCGGTATTTTCATGATTTTAGCGACATTATTTACCGGAATTATTTCAAAATTCGTACTGGAAGATCGTAATGGGTACTACAGCCTAGTTTTCCACTGATTTATCTAAAAATTGGTATATGTAGGTCATAATGGGTACAACAGCCCATGGCAAAAAACTTCGCAAGCAGGACCAGGTCTTCGTATAGCCTTCATATAACAGTTTTCATTTAAGTGGAAGTTTTTTTTGAAAATTTTTAAGTTCCTTCCAAATGTTGGAGGGTATTAAAAATTCGGCCCGGCTAAACTTAGCTGCTTTTTTATTTGTTGGATATTTTTTTATTAAGGAATACAAATATTTCGAATATATCAGATATAAAATAAAAAAAAGACGAAACATATGTCTACTATTAAATTTCTTTTTCCAGACCCTTCTCTACTTTGAGCGACTTTAAAGGAATTTAGCTCTTTTCATTAAAATTGATTTTAATGACTATTCTGCCTTTGATAATCCAATAGAAAATTGGATCCATTTCAATAACGTGTCGCTCAGCACTTCCCTTGTTTTTGAGCAATTCTTTAAATTTCTTTATTTTTGTCTTCCATTCCAAGGGGTATTTTTCGCTATATCTTCACACACACAACACAATACCAATTTTTTGACACCATACGGAATTTAGATTTATAAAACCATACACACCAGTTGACGACGAGTATATACAACAATATATTATTACATAAGAATTAATTATATACGATGATATAGCTTTTAAGCTTTAGCTTTTAGAAACCAAAATTTGTTTTAAGAAAACGAACAATTTACTCGATAATCTATGAAATGTATTTTTTTGTTTTTTTTTTTTCAAATAGTTTGTTTATTATTTTAAGTGTCAATTGTACATACAGTCATAATGTTAAAAAATTTATTATTTTTTTGCCTTATTAATTTTAAACAATAGTTTGAATTCCATTAAAGTATTTATACATATACATATATTTTCTTAAAAGTGGAGATCCGAGCTTTGAAAATGTTCTTATAATACGTTTTGAAATATCTTGGTATTTTTTTCCAATTTTTAAAATTGTCTTCCTTAATTAATTTGAAAAAATAACCAAATTTTTAACGGATGGAAGGAAAGTCGCAATTTTTGCCAGTCCAACAAAAGAAATTTTGAATATCTTCATTCATTCGAGGATTAAAAATAAAATTTGACGAGGATGAAACCGTTTTCACTTTTCGAAAGCACAGCTAATTTAAGTATCTCTTGAAGAGTCCTCATGGCAGATTTTATGTTGAATCTAGGAGGCATTACCTCATATTCTCGCCAGTGCACTGTGCAAACAAAAAAAAAAAAAAAAAAAAACAAACAAAACAAATTGCAGGCAAAATTTAACAGTATATGAAAGTAGAGCGAAAAATAAAAACCACATGTAACCAGAAATAAAGAAGGCAGATTCTCCCCTCTTGTACACTTTTGGAAATCAAAGGATTTTTAAAGGAGATAAAAAACTGCAACAAAGTCAAATGCCATAATTTTGACATTTTTTTTTTAATTTTATTGAATGAAAGCAAAAATGTCGGAAATAGCATCAAATTTTAGAATAAGTTTAGATTTGTTCGAATTGGTAACCTTTGGAAAGAATTATGGCCTTTAATCGGCCAATAAAACCGTCACATGCTGGTCGAATGTTGCTCTGCGGTATTTTGGCTGATTCCCGGCAAAGCGCTTGCTTAAATTGATCGACACTTTGATACTTATTAGTGTCAACCTTGCTTTCCAGAATAGGTTTAGATTTGTTCGAATTGGTCACCTTTTTCACCTACTATGGCCTTCAGACGGCCAACGGAACCGTCACACGTTGCTCGAATGTTGGTATGCGGTATTTTGGCTCATTCCCGGCGTAGCGCCTCATTTTGTAACCATTCTTATGTGGCGCCTGCTGAGTGCGAATGTCCAAGGTCTCCGGTCAAAATGTTTGCGTATCCAAGGCTTTAATACACCCTCCAGAATATTTTCGCTATAATAATCGGCATTTATTCTGATGCCACGGTCGATTAATAGGAGCGTAGGGCAATCATCGGCTGTTATGGCGGCCCACACCACACCATGGCCCACGCTTGAGTTCTGGTTGCCAACTGAAGGTGCACATTTTCAGCCGACCTCTTTGGCAAGTAAAAACACGATCATTTTGTTTGTTTGCAAACTGCTGGATAACGAATGTTTTCTCATCGGAGAAACCCAAATTCGGCACTTCACCACTTTCGGCCAAGCGAAGCAACTCTTTAGCTCTTTTGAGTCTATTTTCTTTCTGTGGCGGTGTAAGTTCTTGCACTTTTCGGAATTTTTGAATGGCCTTACCCCGAGCTCATTTTTCAA